GTGGAACTCCTTAGATGTTGCGTCCACATGAGAGAGGAGCTTCACGCGGTCCTCCCTTCTCAGGCAGTTCCACCGGGCCAAAACTGTGCTGGCGATCTTTTGGTCCCTTTATCATCCCCACCGGACGGTGCAATACCACCTGCACACAGCCTCCCACCAGGGGTGGGACTTGCTGAACAAGTCCATGACCGAGACAAAAGGCAGCTCCTTCTGGAGCATCACAACCCGATCTTCGATCAGCGGCAGGACCGCCTGGGGGTCTTTTGCCGCGTCCAGCTGCTCTTGAACCCAGGCCTGCAACTGCTCGACGTCTTCATGTTCCACCCATGCATAGTCTCCGGATGTGCTTGGCACCGTGATCGATGGCGCCTTGTCGGCCACAACCCAGGAGCCATTGGTCGAGTCGACTATAAGCCCGGCTCCGAAAGCCACATCCTGATCTGCCGATGGCACCCCCTGGGAGGGAGGATCGGCACCTGAGGCAACCGCGCTCCCTTCCCCAGGGGGCGCGTCCACCATGGCAAAGTCGCCATCAGCAGCCAGATCCGCCGGCTCCACCATCTCGACATCCAATGCATCAGGTGACACCTCCTGGGAGGGACGATCGGCACCTGAGGCAACCGCGTCCACTACCACAGGAGGCTTGCCCACAGCAGAGGAGTCGCGGCTGGTTGCGCTTGGTCTCATCGTACATGTCCAGGAAAAGACGCTGGAGGATGGGCTGTCCCTTGAGGAGACCCACCGTGTGACAGGCTCGCAGTGTTTCTATAACACCTGCTCTCTTCACCTCGTTTTCTGATTGATTTGTGGCCTGGGCGAGCAGAGCCGTCACATCTTCAAGGACAACACCATCTGCAGCACCTGCAGGAGCCGCTCTGGTCGGGATAGGGGCAGCTTCTGCCTCAACCCCCTCATGTGGTGCCACAGGGGAAGAGAACTCGTCAAGTTCGAAAAGATTCTGCTGCATTCTCCGCAGCGCAAGGTTCTGTCTGATTTGCACAGGCAAATCGTCGTGCGAGGCACGCGGGGGAGTCGACATGACCAGCAACAGAAAACAATCAACCAAGAAAAAGACACCACGGGAACAACAACCCCGCGACACCGAGACCCGTCGTGAGTCTGACCCAAAATGGCAGCCGGCCCGAGCAGAAAGCTGAAGAAAGGCTGCTGGCTTGGCCCCATGACATGCGAGTTGATCAGTGCAAGCACGGATTCTTCTACTTGTGCAAGCCTCCCTCTGCCTTGGTCACGTCAACACTTTTGCACCTGGATGGCAGCTCCACAAGATTTAGGCCAGAAAAAATGCCTTCGCAGCAGAGCGAGGGCGGGAGAGGTGGGAGTCTTGAGCAGTCGTGTATCCAACCTGTTCAGCCTTACTGTCCAAGGCTTCGCACTCTGTCACACTAATGCACCTGGGTGACAGCTTCACAAGTCAGGGCCAGATTTAGGCCAGAAAACACCTTCGCAGCTCCACCCCGTAACACCCGTTTTCACGCGACAGCGAACGACCCCGCCGCTAGCAAACGGTACCACATGTTCGGCAAAATGCCTGTGGCTTTGAAGTACAGGATCTTGGCGAGGAGGTCTCGATACGCGCCCAGAGCAGCAAAAATCATGTCTTGCCAAGCCCGAGGCACATGATGGAAGAGTTGGATCGAAAAGGCAACCTGCACATAGATCTCCATGATCCTGTGCGAAAGCCAACGTCCCCGACGACGCACCAGTTCACTATCTGCACCTTGCATCATCAACCAGGTTTCTCCTACACGAAAGCCGAAACCCAACCTCCGACGAGGCTGAGGTGGAGGCTCTTGGGTTGGTCACAGGGAGCCTCGCAGCCTCGCAAGCAATCGCTGCAAGGGCGACCCTCTTCCCCTTTGCAGGGCCAACCAAGGCAAGTCCAAGGCTCTGACATAAGCAGAGAAGTCGACCTCAGCACCGGCAATGCAGCCGGTACCCGAACAAGCCTGTGGCTCGGCAGGCCCTAACCAAACTCAAAAACCTTGGCCGATGCCGAAGGGCCTTTACCCAACAAGCCTGGTGGGCCAGTCATCTATGACAAGGCCCTCGACGAGGCTGCCTTCACTACCGGGAGGGAAAGGTCTTCCTCCCTCAACGCGGGGTCGACACGGAGAGGAACTAGTTCGAATGCGCCGTGCATGCGATCTCACCTTGAAGGATCGTGCCGAAACAGGAGTACAGGCGGCGAGGCTGGTCACCAGCTTTCGCATGACCCGATGGGCTCTCCGCAAGAAGAAACAGGTTGCAAAAGCCACTCAGCTCAGTGCAGTCGGCAATGGCCACGGCGGGGCACAACAGATTTCGAAGAGAGTGCCGAGGCAGGACTCTCAGCTGATGGCAGAAGTCCTTTCTATCGCAAACCGCTATCCGGAGGAAGCAATTGCTGTCAGGGCGGAGGAGTAATCCGCAGAGAGCAGATCCTCCTGGCAGTGCAGCAGAGCCTCCTTGGAGAACTCCCTCGTGTCTGTTTCGGCCTCTCTGGTCTCCGATCTGTCGGTCGGTTGATCGGTTCTCTGCCGCGTTAAAGATGCGCACGGCCTGATCGGCCGAAGCTGGCTCGTCAAGAGACAGGCGAAGAAGTCTAAAACAACCACGAAGCTTTGCTGGGCCTGAAACCTTCGAGGGCACCTCATGTGAGATGAAGGGGCCCGGCGGCTCGACAATTGGGAGAAGCATGGACCGGGGTTCCCGAAACGGAAGGTAGAAGAAGCCATCAAGGTACTCTGACGGGTCCCAATTTGCCTTCCCGGCCAACTTTAGCCTCGTCGGGCCGAGGCCTCGGTAGGGGTGCAAGGCATCAAAACAACTTTGCTCGTCCAAAAGGAGGCCGGGAAAAGCAGGCCCATACCTGGCGACAGAAGGGCGTATGCACGTCAAACCTTGACAAACCTGTTCCAGGCACGCCATCACTTTTGCAGATCGGCGCGGGGCCGAGACGGGATCACCCGGCTCGACCGCACCGCAAGCCTTGACAAGCCTCTTGATATAGCCCCGGGCCTTTGGGTGGTGCTGATTCGGAGGCCTCCGAAGAAGTCTATGCGCCACCGGACGGCTGCCTGCATGCAAATAGTTGAATGCCGCAGCTGTGACGAACACAGCTCGCTTCACACCAAGACGTGAGCGTGCGGCGGAGCCAACCTGTGCACGGGGGAAACGCCCGGAAGATGCCAAAGTATGGCGGGGGCAAAGGAAACAATAACGTGGAGGGCGTCATGCCGGACCCGGGAGAAAGGTGCAAAAGAGAGCCAACGAACATTCCGGTCCAAAAACCCCTATAGCACAAAGCAAAAACTAGCCTACCACCTCCGGAAAGTGAGGCGAGGAGGGCCTAAACCCGACTTAGGGGACGGGCCTCGGGAATTAAATGGTGCCACAAAGTCACTAGCCCAAGGACAACAGGCGAGCCTCTTGAAAAATGGTAGTGAAGATTGGTCTCAACAGGCAGCCCATCCCGGAGATCAGCAGACACCTGTGCGGCTAAGCCAAGGCCGTGACAAAGGAAACGGATTGAGCCCAGACGGGAGGAAAGGCCCGAGCAGCAAGCAAAGCCAGGCAACAGAAGCATGGCTGCACACAGGTACCCCAACCGCACGCATCAAATATCCGGTGGCTTCTTCTTGCAGCGCGGCTTTCGAGGTCCTGTCTTTGGGCTGGCAGGCGAGTCCTCCCTTGTAGTGCCGGAACTGGCTGCTCCTCCCGACGCTTCTGTCCTCCTCGACAAAACCGTGTGGGTTCCTTCAAGAAAGCAAGCGTCGTAGTTGCCCACAAAGGAGCGAATGCACGCAACCGCGATGCACGCAACCGCGGGTACGTGGCTCGGGGGCTCGGGGAAGAGGCTCACTGTATAAGCCACCTCGAAGTTCCCATGATCGAGGTTTGCCTGCTCGAGGCAGACCATGAGGAGCGAAAGGATGTCTAAGGCCCCTTCCCGAGCCATATGTCCAAGGGATCATAGACTAGAATCAGAGTTGTCGCTTTGTCAAACCCGATCACACTTGAGAAAAGAACTTCGGATGGCGTACTTCAACTTAGCTAACTTTTTTTAAATTGTGCCTTCAAACTGCCTCCCGAGGCCCATGAGCAGCACCAGTTTGCAGGTACGTTTGCTCACTAGCATCTGTCAGCTTCGTTGGCATGGCGACAAATACAAGCTGCCACGCCCCCTGCATTTACAAACCAACGTATGTAACTGCAAGTACACCGCCATCCGCTCACGTCTCACGGCACTCAACTAGTGTGAGAGGGCGAAGCCAGTAGGCACTGAATTTCGCACCAAGTCGCGTTGTTCCGGCTTTTACTTCATACCCCCTCAAATGCCAAAGATTGAAAACCCATCGAAACCGGGGTGTCCACACACAGGAAGCCACTGCAACACACACACACACACACATCTTCAAACAGGCACAACAGTTTCGCCACGCCAAAATGACGGCCTGAACATGCCTGAGCTCAGGGTCGTCATCATGCATGCACAGAAGCTGAGGGCCAAGCATCTGCTTCTCAGCAGCTCAATTTGAAAGCCAAGCAAGACATAAGTTTCAAAACCAGCCTAAACCCTATCTGAAGCTGATACCCACTGCAAGCGACTGCGTCGAACAAGGCAAAATCAAATCTGAAACCTACAACTTGGCTGAAGAACTGCATGGATGCAACAATGGTCCTGACTAAAGCCCAAACGAAAGAGCAATGCCATGAGAGAAGGTAGGGTGGAACAAAAGCCACCGAGCTAAACGGCCCACCCATCAGAAACAAGAAAGGAGCAGAAGATGCCATGGGACAAAATTGGTGGTCAGGTTTCGTTGCCGGCCGTGATCGGTCCCAAAAGCGGCACGGCCCACTGGAGAACCCAGAACCGAAGCGGCATGGACGAACGTCGCAGGACGCAACACAGAATGAGACACGGCGATGAGATCCCCAAGTGACTGCCAGTTGCTGTCATCTCGAATAACTCGCATTGGCTACGAGAGGACAGGGAAGGCCTCAATGAGGGCCTCGGAGGTGCTGTCCTAGCAGTGCACTGCTCCCTGCAGCGAGTCTGTATTGTTGACGCAATACCAACAACTAGTCAACGCTACGATGTCAAAGCCACAGTTTCACTAGTCGGCAGAAGGCTTTGCACAGGCCACGCTCCTCTACCAGCTGCCGACAGCGTCTCCCGACGAGCCTTGCACAATCCGCGCTGTGCAACACACCACACTGCGTTTAGAGCTTTGCAGCTGGACGGTTTGCAGTCTTATGCTTCACGCCATGATTAGGATGTCTTGGGCGCCATACTTTTGAACAGATCCAGGCTTCGGTGGCTCCTCAGACTGTCATCCAAAAACAGAGATAGACAGGCAGACAGCTTGTATAGCATTCTATCTTCTGGTACGTACCCGGCAGAGTGTTTGGGTTTCTCTTGATGTTGTCAGCACCATCACCGAGCACAAGAGAGCAGGCGCGACTTCCAAGAGGCTCTTCAGATACTGGCTGCAACCATCAAGGAAGAGTCTGAATCTCTCTTCGGATCCTCGTCCTCCTCATCCGGGGGGGCTTCGCTCATCCTTGACCTCAGCTGAGGATTGACGATTCCTAAGGTGGCTGAAATATCCAGCACTAGCAGTATCCACAGGCAACAGTTGACGCCACAAAGTGCAGATCCTGTCCTGCTGAACGCATGCCAATAAGACTGGGCCAGGGCGGAAGCACACCACCGCGCAAGACAGCCTCCCAACGATGTAACAATCCAGAATCCAGGACACTTCCGTCAGAGCCCTCAGCGCTGCGGCACTGCGCTGACTCGCATCCGTTTTGGACCAGCACCCAAAAGTGCCGGGCCGCCCGAGTCTTTGGGCAGAGACTGTACAAGCACTGCAAGTCGCTCCGATGTCGCTCCGCAGTGTTCCGCAGTGTTCCGCAATGTCAAGTGCCACTTGGAGTTCAAGGTTCAAACAAGGATCCATCAAGCAGCAAATGACGTGCTAAAAATGCGGCACCTGCTGGATGGCTCTTCTTGAGAAAGATTCATGAAGTCTCTCACACAACATACACTATACTGAAAGTTTGGCATCCAGCCCTGGCCGACTTACATCACTCAGCAGCCACAATTAGGAAATGTGCACCCCTCATGCGTCGAGTCTGTTCATGCGCCGCCAAGATCAGTCTGCTCAGCTCCACCTACTGCATTTCTTCAACAGAAAGTGCTGTGCTGGTTCCGCCATCTTGCAAAACAGCTGCAGTACAGCTGCTTTCCGGGCACATCGACGCACATGCTAGATATCTTCGACGCAAAGACACTGCACTTGTTGCCACTGCTGACCGTGCAGGTAACATGGCGATAGCCTTTGCAGCGAGGAAAATGGCGCCAGCACACCCATAGCTCTGCCATGTACCAATTCAGGAAGATGTCCAAACGCAGGGATTCAATCAAAACATGACTCGCTGCCCAAGGACTACATGGCACCAAGGGTGCAGCCCAGGTCTAGGTCTTAGGTCACTTCGTTTTATGGTACGGTCCCAGTACGATTGAACGCCTGACATGGTGCCTAGCTACTGGCGTCTTCGCTACCAACACCAGCACTCCAGACCCACAACTTGCGATCGGTCTGAATTAAGGCATTTGCCGCACAAAGGCACACACGTATCTGCACCGTATGGAAAGTGTGAAATTCTACGCATTGGCGCTCATTTCATTCGTGCCTGCCTATTTAGCTTCTTCGGGTCAGCCTCTTCAACGCTTTTGCGACTCCTTTTGGTGGTCACGGCCTGCTTTCAGTTAGGCAACTCCTGTCACGGTCCTTCAAGTGCTTTGGTGATCTGTCCATATCTGTTCATGCCATGTGCGGATTGCAGGGTTTGCCGCTCCTTTTGGGTCAGGTTTGCATTTTTCTGGCACATCTGAGATATCTTTCATGCAGAACGCATGCTGCCAGCCCTTTGTTTTCTGCGCGGCCACGTTGAATATGTTTTTCGGACGGCGGTGCCGCCGAAGCCTGATCCTGTGCGGCTGCTTCTTGTCCACAGGCTTTTGTGACTAGGGGTTTTGGGCTAGCCCGCGCTGAGCCTCACCCCTGCGCGTGCCAAGGCTTTCTTCCGACTCTTTAACTTCCGTTGAACCCAGGCTTGCAGCAGCTTGCAACTCCGTGGCTCAGGTTTTTGCACTTCTGGTGCCGAGGTGTGCGTTCGCATCGCTCGCAACCACTAGCTAGCTGCAGACCAAATTGCCCAAGTTCCCGAAACCGGCACCCTCCACCACCCAATGCAGGACGCATTACACCCAAGTTCTGCAAGTTCTGCACGGGGTCCCATCGAACAGCGAAACAGTACCATACATCTGATATGAATGCGACCTGCCGTCTTGCCATCAAACGCAAATGGCCGGGAGGTATCAAGGAGGCGAAGGTGCCTACGTTTGAGCTTCGCGATCTGCAACTGTCTCGGCTAATCCTCGTTCAGTTCAGTTCAAGACAGAGCGGTGCATCCTGTACCATGTGCCTTGCTTGATGTGGCTCCATGCGTTATCCAATCCCACCTACTGCACTGGGAGAAAAAAGGCTCGTTTGTCCGAGCAAATAGCATCCTAGTAGCCAGAATCTGCTCCTAGAAGCTGCCTCTTCTTGATGCATTGTGCACATTGCCACATTCGTGAGTTCTAGTCATTTGCATGTGAGCGAGATTCCGTCCAGAAATGTCCGCGGTTTGGAGGCGGAAACAAAAACAAGCCACTGCTTAAAGACTTAGTGGGGTAGGCTTGCGACTCTTGGAAGAGACCAGAGGTCGGCACATGTCACGGATTGATGCCACCTTGCGGTGCACTGCAGGCACAGCACCGATGTCTGCAAAGACTAAGACTCAACGCTTTCAGCATGCGACTGGCACCCTGCCTGTACAATCCATTCGCTGTCCAACATCACAGCGACACCGGGCCTGAGCATGTTAAGGCGTATGGAAAGTAAGACGAGTTCTGCAGGTCGGACGAAGATTCACAAAAGCTTCTGCGGCAGAACATAGTACTGCAAAGTGAACGTCATCTGCAATTGCTATCTGAAAGGTTCCTGGGCTGTTGCGCAAGCAACGCATGACAACTGCCCAAAACTACGAACATGCAGCTACGCCGAAAGGAGCCTATGGCGGAGAGTTCCCGCACCACTCATTGAGACCATCTGTCAGCAAATCTAGCAAACCCTGCGCTTGACGGTGCCAGTGCCCCCCAAAACTGCTCGAAGCCCAAACCTGTACCCAAAGCACCGGCCGGTTCCCACGAGCATCCGACTTGTGAACCCGTACTCAGAGTGGGTGAGCTTGACCATTGACGAAGCTGGCAACTTCGTCATCGAACATTCCTGGAACTGGGCCACAGGTAGCAGATAAGCAGCCCACATCGTCTACTGCTCCTTGCGTTTTTCAAACATGCGATTATGATGCTACGTCCAACGCATCAACTCTTTCTACGCTTCCCTGAGCTGGGGTTCCAAGTCCGTCATGGATGCCACCGTCGAGCAAGTGGACGTGCGGCGACGGCCATCTGCGGTGACAGCGTTCCACCTGTTGTGCACAGGCTGACCTGTGCTGAACGCTTTGGGTTGAGCCCTGCACCTCTCGGACAGCTCCGCAAAGCCTCAGTGTTCTGCCGCAACGAGTTAGAGGTGCCCGAGTGACTACCACTGGGTGTGAATAGCAGGCTGCGAGGGCGCGAAGGTGAAATTCATGCAGGCGTTGGAGGTTGGGAGCCTTGTTTTGTGTCGTCCCAAAAAGCCTGGGCCTGCCATGACAAAAAATAGTTTGGCAAAACGTGTATTCCAAAATGTCGCTGAACTTTGACGCACTCGAAGTCGAACTGGAACATCACATAACTCAGATAGTGCATCGCGAATGTACTACAGTAGCATGATGAGTGGCTCAGGCTGAAGTCAACTTTATACTATTTTACAGTATTTCCCGGCTTTGCACTCAGTCGGTGTCACCCGTTCCCGAATTCAGAACTGTGGTTGCAACGTCGACGTGAATTGAAACTTCGTTGGAAAGCTGGCCTAGCCGGCCTAGCCCGAGCCACGGCAGGGCGTGCACGCGACAAATGACACACAGGGTGTGGGCTCGATCGCACACATTCAATCAATTCAAAAAAGTGACCCTTCTGTCCTGCTTCTTCAGATGCAAGCACGCTCAAGATGCTCTTGCAAGTGTTTTGATGCACCTGCCGCAGAGATCGAGGCATACAAACGTCAGGAGTACTGCACACGGGCTCAAAGGTAATGCGAGATTGTACACGGCCTTTTCCAAGCTCGTCTGTACGCCTTTGGCCTGCCGCAACTTTGTTTCACAGGCAGACGACCGCACAGAACATGGCAGTCAGCAGCTCTTTAAGCCTTCACACTGAATTTTGGGCGGATCTCCTCAAGTTCGTCAAACATGTCGACATCCTGAAACTTTCGTCTAAGAATGGTGTAATAGGCGCAGCTTCACAGGGTCAGAGCATGTCAAAATCAGAGCCCACTGTCCGCGGCGTCCGGCAAGACCAGGTCTGGAATCTGCAGCGGAGCAACACGCGTGAATCATGGAAGGAGAGGGAAATTGAAATGCGTCACTGCGTCGGCGGCCGTCATCTTGTGACTCTGAACTTCCGCTTATGTCTCTTCAAGCTCCCAGCCCCCGCCCCAGTTTGTCCATGCATGGCACAGGGTGAGATCTTCTTCGGCGTCGCTGCTTGTTCCTTCTCAGTCGCATTGTTGCCTCATCCCTTCTAGGATTCATTCCTGCGTGTCGACCGACATGGCAAATTTCCTCCTGTGTTGACACTGGCCTCTCAGCCTGTCGGCCTCTTGACTTCAAGCTGCTTCAAGTCACCTTTCGGAGTACCTTGCTGATCTGCTGATCTTTGTTTCTAAAGCCAGTCGCTTCCCATGAGGGTCCGACTAGACACGTGAATCTTTGCTCATCAAGCACTTGGCAAGCACCGTACCATCTTTGAAAAAGCGCGCCTCGTTCATGTCCCACGTCGACTGTACTGAAGGCCGCATAAGCCTCTGCAAGCCATCCGCTCTGCTCGCCGCACGGTGCCCAATCCTACTCGCCTGCACGTAGCCGTCGCTGCCAAACCCGACATTAATTACGCAAGAAGCCCCCTTCGCTTTTACAGCTGAAACATCAGGGCGGTGTCAGCTTACGTGGCCTGCTCTGCATTACCATATTTAACATACGGAAACCGCCAAAACTGATCCTTCAGGCAAGTTGCGGCGCTTGCGGTGGTAGGCAGGTCACTTCCTTTGGAAGGTCCTGTCTGGAAACCTGTGCAAGCCAAGACCTAGCAAACCGAGGCCTGGCAACATGGACCCGCTTCGAAGCACGCGCGCCTCACCATCGTTGGGAATCAAAGCCTCACCAGAAATTCCAACGTGGCCGTACAATCCAGTTGAACCGCGCACTACTGCAGATTCAGCATGTCCAACGCATCGCTCACCCATGCTGATGCTGCTTCTTTCGTTGAGGCCCCGTCATGTAATTATGCGATTGTTGTGAGTTGACGGTGCAGGCGGGCCTTTGCAACAGATCCTCGTGCCGAGTACGAATCATCAAGGTAGCTCCCTAGTGCAGCACCACTGAGTCTCGTGTCTACACTATCAGAACTGCACGCTCTCTACCAGTCACCCTGCATTGTATCTTTGCGGCAGTACACCGTACAAGCACCCCAACTTGAAACTGTGTATATCTCCTACAAAAATCTCAAAACC